AACCACTGGATACACTCCAGCAAAGTTGATGTTTGATCGGGTACTTCGGTTGCCAGTGGATCTGTTAACAGGACGCCAACCTTATGAAGAGTTGCCTATAAATGTGTCAGACTTTATGAAAGTGTTATCAGAAAGTTTGGATGATATTCACCATCAAGTGCACTCAAACTTGAAAACATCTGCTGATTTGATTAAGTTATCTTATGATAAGAAATCTACTGAAGTCAGCTTTGTACCAGGAGACAAGGTGTAGTTGTATAATCTCAGGAAGACCTAAGGGAAGTCTCCTAGGTTGTCTTCTCCATGGGAAGGCCCATATGACATAGTGGATCGTTTCTCAGACGTGACTTTTCGGATAAAATGTGGTCGGCGAGGTAAGACAAAGGTGGTAAAATAAAAAAAATAATGTTTTACTTCTTAATATTTCAATTTGTAGCACAACGTCCTTTACTTACTCAGAAGAGCACTTTTTTAATATAAAAGAATAATTGTTGTCAAATTATATATATGTGTGTGTGTGTTTACTGAAATGAGAAACGTGCTAGCTAACTTTATCTCTTTTTACCTTCTCTCATCTGAAATTAACATGATATTTACAAACATGCTAACCGCAAACTAAAGGCACAGTGTAACAGTATAGGTATTTACTGGTACTTACTTACCCGTAATATTCCATAAATAAGTGCAGGTAATTCTCCAGCGAAAACAAAATTCCCTATAATTCCGAGTATTGTCATGAAAACGTTTGGATTTTTCAAGATTTCCCACAACACTGATAGAATCATTTTGGCCACCAGCCATTTTGATGACCGGTGATCAGCTACCTGGATAGACCCACTACGGACACGCTCAATTTCCATCATAAGGAATCCAATTGGGTTTAAAATCATGAGAGAGATCGGAGCGATCAGATATAGGTAGCCAGCATACATCGGATGTCTGTGTCCATAAAGCGAAGAGACTGAAATAAAAACAAAATATTCAACTTTTCAATGTTATGTCCTGATTACTAGCTTAAATAATATTTTATTTTTATTCGTAGTTTAAAAAATAATCAATTGTTATCGACAATTTTACTTTTACTAGTAACCGTTAGAATGTTGTACATCATATCCGTTAAAAATCACACATTTAATAAACCCCAAATTTAAACACAATTATTAGATACCATCATAGAAGAATATCTATTCACATCTTTTAATTCTTTTTTGCATACTTTTAATATATATATCTGCTACCTACTCTTCATCTATACAAGAAAATGTTATAATGCCACAATTAAACGGATATTGCATAATCTGTGAGAAACTAGAATATTTTCTTCTTAATGTCAACATATTAGTTAAACTATTTAAATCCAATGGTTTTAATTAAGTAATTTATAAAAAAAAATTTTTTCAAATTACAATAGCAAGTGTTATAAAATATTTCTATAATTTCAAATAATAATAATATTACGAAAGTTTTATTTCAAATTGTCAAAATTTGTTACAGTAAATACACTTTCATACTATAAACCATTTCCATGGTATCACGCCTGTTTTGGCTCTCACCACTTAGGTATTTGTTGCATGTGTATAAATGTGCATGATTACATTAATTCATTTACACCACTGACCTATTTTAACAACCTGCTAGTTAACGATGTAATTGGCTGGTGAGCTAAGTTACTGGAATTATGAGAGTTAATTTTACATATTGCTCTGGAAGTTTTTAACTCGTTTTATGGTGCTCATTCAGCTACGTAACTATTATTGGAACTGCTGTACCAACATTTTGTTTTAGCAACCTATTTTTATTTTTATGGTATCATTTCTTTTTGTTTTTATTACGAGCAAGACCTTCCAACAACTGGCTCCAGATTGTAAATAGCATAAGTTCAGATGTGAATGTTGTGAGTTTGAGTAGTTATACAAGTCCCAGCGGATAAATTATTTCATTGCTCGTGTGGATAGATGTTAAATCTGGTAAAAAGCATATCTCCACCACTATTGGATTCTACTCTTACTAGAAACATTTCACCATTCCTTCTCTTTTAGCTGAAACCCTAAGTTTATTTATTCGTACTATATGTATGACGCTTTTTTTGTTTTTGTTGTTTCCTATCTGATATTCCAAGATATTAAGATACTGTTCTGTACATTCGATTTCCTTGATACTGATATCTACATAAATATTTAAAAAATAAAGCAGCAGTTATTTATTCGTTTAATTATAGCTTCATAAATTGTTTGTTTTTAATTATGCACAAAGCTACACAAGGGCTATCTGTGCTCTGCCCACCACGGGTATCGAAACCCGGATTCTAGCATTGTAAGTCCGCAGACATACCGCTGTGACACTGGGGGCAGCTTCATAAAGAAAATAAACAGCTACTCTACGATTCTACTTCTGAGAGATTTCATGATTAACATTAAAAAGATTCATTTTTTTATATTTCATGATAATTTATAGATAATATTTATGGATATAATATGAATAAGAAAAAAAACCTAGCTTAACAAAAATATTATCAGAGAAGATAGCCGTGGCATAAGGCATTTCAAACTGGAAATAAAATAACGATAGTTCGATAAAAGTATAAATATAAGCAGAAAAAAATAATTCCTCAAGGTATCATCATATATGCAGTAAGAATTTGGAGATGTTTACCATTGATTTCTACTCAAGTTCCAAACAGGACAGGCCGTACCATGATAGTGATGGCAACTTTATCTGCCTTTCCAGAGTGTCTGAGAAAAAGTAAAATCTGATATCTAGTATCATGTTCCACATCAGCAATCAATTCTTTTATTAGCTTCATTGCTTCACAGTGATATTACAGTTTACTTGATGCAGTGAAAAATACTACAACTTAATCAGCTCACCAAAAATATTTTCTCAGCATTAAAATAATAGCTATGTAGCATACCTATTGGATAAGCTAACCCAAAATCATTTCCTTGTGTGCAAAATATGGCATACAGTCCTGCAAATGCAAGGTTAATAGGTCGGTGTATGGCAACTGTTGTTGTTGCAACCAAAAGAAACACTGCAACTTTCCCCAACAATATTCCGGCAATGAACGACCAGTTGACATTTCCCAAGTTGATGGTCACCAGGTTAAGGAAGATTAAAGGAGGAAGAGCAAACTCAGAAGTAAAGACACTCAAACCTTTAATCTCAGGCCCCGAGATTAAACGGAAGCGACCAGCCAGATACCTGGAAAAACGGACCACACATTACAAACTTACAAAAACTCGGATATTGAAGTGTTTGTCATTGAAATTATGTATTAACCACCATATACAAAAATTCATCATCAGTCTATATACTTAGCAGCAAAAACTCCCCCAAAATAGCCTAGTGTTATTAGTGTTGGATAATTTACTAACTATGCACACTTCTTTACCTTTTTACTCCATTGAACAGTAGAATTCGTGGTAATACACTACATTAACTAATTTGACAAGATATGAGCGCAAAAGTCATAGAGAATTAAACTTTTACAAATGAGTTTTCATTATTTAGTGTGACTGAAAATTTCCTTTCATCATGTACTTTACATAATTACTATAAAATACCATTTGGATTTGTGTATATAATTTTGATTGAGGAGTTGGACTGTTAACCATAAAAATTATGTTACCAACGGAGGCTAGGGAGTATTCATAACGATATTATGGCATTCTAACATCTCCATCGTTTAATAATGAAATAAAATGTTGGCCCCTTAGCTATTCATTGTAAGACAGTTTTAACTACTTAAACATCTGAGCTGCTAAGTTATTTTCAAAAAAGATACAACATGTCAATGTATTTTATATGCGTTAGTTGGTTGTAAATAATTCTAAATAGATTATGCAAAGTAAGAACTTCATTTTTAAAACGTTTTAATTTAAATTATACCTTGATTTTTTTTTCACAACTATAGAAATCTGCTGGTATCAAAAATAAAATAACATTAAAATTCAAATAATGAAATCGTTTCAAAGTACATTGAAATCAATGTTTTCATATTTTTGGACAAAAACGCATTCCAATGAACGCTGAGCAACAATACATAAAGGTGTCGTAAAATAATTGCTTAGAAACAGTTTTTTTCTGGTAAGGCTTTCCTCTTCAGCCACAACAAGTGTATTACCCCAACCAGTTGAGTAAGATCCATTAAAATACCACAAACTGTTCTGGGTAGAAAAGTTTGAAACTAAAGGATTTTTTTGGTACCAACTCTAAGGGAAGAGTATGGCGTAAGAAAAATTTGATAAATGCGAAAATAAAAATATACATCAACATAAGCCGTAGGTTTCGAAAAGCTTACGATGTAAATTATACAGAAAATAAAGTGACTGTAACGCTATATCACTTCATAAAAATATCCAGTAAAAATGATGAGCATGTTTTGTATCGACTTTCTAAAGATGGTGCCAATTGGAATACTTCAGTGTAAAAAAAGAAGCCTTTGATAACATTGTTTTCTCAGTATTACAGCAAATTTTGTATTGTGAGATTACGCGTAATCATTACATATTATTCATTAAAAAAGTATATCATACCCGATGAACACCACAGCAAAGCACTCTAATAAAGTTGGTACTAGTTCATCAAAAGCGCCACCTATTGACGTTTCATCGTTAACACTTGTTATGTTCATTTCAGACGGGACCTTAAAAAACAACATTATTGTCATTTAGTCTTTGTAAGTCTAACAAAACATTAAATAAGAGGAAATATCACCAAAATATGTCAGTTTTAGTAAGTGTATAGCTTAAATTAAAATGGCAAACTCTGAACTTGTTTAAATCTTTCTTTTCTAGGTTACTTAGAAAAAAGACAAACGGTTAAACACAATAAAACTATCCACTTATTTTCATATAACGTACTTTTATGTAATTAATATGACTTTTTATCTTTATAAAACCTTACTTGCATTTACGAAATTCGAAAACAAATTTAAAGGTTATGCCATTGTTAATAGAAAATGCAACAAATATGCAAGAAATGAAAACATATATACCTTACACCATTGTAGAGAGCCAGTAGAAGGCGCTGCCTGATACACGGAGGCTAGTTGAGTGATATGAGTCGTCATTATAACATTCGTCTGAAGGAAAGTAATAAATAGTTTTATTTCGGTGAAACTTAAGGAAATATTCAGTAAACATATTTCAAAATTACAACACCACCATAAAAATGTCATCGTGATCATAACTTGTACACACCACAGGCATGATACGTGAAAACCTAAAAGCTATTTAGGTTAAAATGAATATCTAAGGTATGACTCACAAGATTTATAATATTTGGGGTAAACAGGCGAAAATGTACATGTGGCAAATAATATGAAACACTTTAATTGACCTTTTGGGTATTTTAAATAAATATAAAAAAATTCATTTGAAGTATTTATTCCTTTTAGATTACCACCGACAAACATTGTCGCTCAATATTATTGTTCATCAAGCTGGATATGTTAATTGGGTCATTTAGGATTGAAATGTTAAAATTTATAAGGACTTAAATTGAAAATACAGCAGTTATATACCTACAAACATATCAGTTTCACATATAATTAAATAAACAATAACAATAAATGGTAGAAGTTAATCTGGTATTTGTTGAAGCTAAACATCACAGTTTCTATGTTCAAATTAAGTGTTGTTACTATAGGTTGTATCATAAAGCAAAATGACGCAGCTACAATGTGGAAGTTAATCATTATTGCTATAGGTTATCCGTTAAGGCCAATTATAACAGTTATAATGTTCAATTTATTTATCATTAAGTTACACGATGAGGAGACATATCGCTATTGCAATATTCAAGTTAACTATTATTACTATTGGTGTGATATTCTCAGGTGCACTAACTTCCCCTAAGAGTGATCAGGTAAGTTCCACAGAATAACGGGAGGTCGGACAGAAAATGTATCACGAAGCAAATATGAATTCTCTGACTTTCAAATGAGCTTGAAGAAATGAAAGAGATGGACACAATCTATAACAAAATGAAACAATCTTTATTCAAAAATTAAAAACAGTTAAAATTGTGTGTTCACAAAGAACGGCGTTTTTACTATATATATGTTAAGAGTCTAAATCTCTCGAGAAGTAGTTGTTAAGAAGGTGGAATTCTAATTATTCCAGACGGAGAAAACATAGCATTGTCTACACAAACCAATAATTCTATTCTTCTAAGGGCAAATGCACTATCTACATGACTTTTAGTGAATTCCCAAAGAGAACTAAGGGAAGCTATGTCTTCGAGGGATCACATGACTTGCCAATAGAAAGAATCCTGTCTACTTTTGCATAGTATATGTAATTTCAAAGAAATATTTCCCAAGAGAAGCACAACTGAAAACTTAGGTGAATGACCGAGAGAAATAAGTTTAGTATTCTTACTCAGAGATTACAGATCCTAGATCTTTCGAAAATTTATACAACATTAAAACCAATTCGCTAAGACATCTACAGCAATTTTCTTATTGTTTTTGATAACCTTTTATTTAATTTCAAGAGTTTATAATGCACAATCACATTTCTCTAACATTATCCCAACTTATTCATAATGTTCCTGTGTAGGAAATTACTTTACATTTTTTATTAAAGGAAGGTTAATTGTTTATTTTATGATTTTCTTTCAAAGCAATATAAGAAACATGGTTAGTAAAGATCTTTAACACTGATGTACAATGTTATGAAATAATGCCAAATTTTGTTAATTGTTGACTGTGAATAAATACATAAAAATAGCTCATTAACCCTAATATCTTCTCATTTGCTCTGAAGATAAGCCTTCGTAGCAGATTCCAAAATATTACTTTATATCTCTTTTGTTTGTCATTAGAAAATGCCACAATCTGCTGTGTCCGCTGCGGGGAATCGAACCACGGACTTTAGCGTTGTAAGTCCGTAAACTTACCAATGTCTCACCGAGGGACGTATCTATGTTTAGGAAAGGTTAAAATTCTAAATTACTACGCACTATAAATTAATATTTTCTTAGTTACATTTGCAGATGTTCATTATCCAACCGTCTATATATTCGAACCATATATTCTCTATATTTTTAGCACCTTTATCAGATAAGGTATTTAGTTTAATAATTTGTCTTTATATAATTGCAAAATCTTCTATTAAATTGTAGGTTTGCGTAATATGATATAAATGACTAAGACGAGTAATATTAAGCTTGGAGAGGTTTTTAAAAATTG